GAAGGTAAAAAGGTATCCTGCAGGACAAGTCAATGACCACCAACGTGGATGGTTTCTGTGTGAGTTTTAAACTCACCATTACAGAATAAAGTCATAGGTCAAACAGAGCCATTCCTCATGAAAACCCATCACAGGTGTTTCCTCAGGACCACAGGAAGGGAGTGACAGTTTGCTCATTAGTTTCACACAGGCCACGGAGACGATCACCTTTGAAATCTATAACTTCACTAGCAAATTACAAAACATACTGATTCTAAAAATTAGTAGTCGCCCCACCCTTTGAAAACAGAATAGCTCCACACCTTTCTGTCCCAGAGCTTCCCAGTCAGAGGAGTAACTGCAGAATCACTTCAAGGGAAACCCAACGAAGCATTTCAGGGATGATTACTGACACGCTCACCTCTGTGTGTGGAAGTCAGTGAACCACGAGGTGAGAGGCTCCTCTGCCCCTGTGTGAGCACCCAGGCGCTTCCTGATCACACGCTCCCAGGAGCACGCGGCCCCCTGGCTAAGACCCCCTGCGTGTGGTGGGCGCTCCTTCCTTGGGTGAGGAAATAGACTTTTGGTCACAGGAGAGGGGCAGAGGAGGAAGGACATTATGAGGGACGCTGGTGGCAGTTTGGTTTCTCAGACTCCCCTCCAAAGGCCCCTCCATCTCTTCAAGGGCCAACAGCTGGCAACTTGGCTCTGAGGGGTTCATGCTGGGACCTCAGACTTGCACCAGTGGGAGAAGCAAGACCCAGAGGCTGGCGGTGAGGCTGGGGTACCGGCAGCTACCCTGGGACAGGGAGAGGAGAGAGAGGGAGACTGAGTCTCACTGCCATGGACAATGCAGGTGACCATGCTCTGCTGAGCCTGAGACGCTGAGGAAGAACAATGGAGTCGCGAGTCCGACTTCCAGACCTGGGCACACTCCGCGGACAGCAGCCTCTGGCAGCCGCCTCTACCACCAGGGCTGGGAAACACAGGTGTTTGTTTACTCTGTGTTAATTTCACGGATCCACAGATTGGATGAAACCCACTTGGAGTTTTAACATCCATCCCAGCAGCTATGCAAACCACTGTCATGGCAGACCCTATACCTGAAGATAGCCCAGTCCCAGAAACTGCACGGCAAAGTGCCAAGTCCCATAGTACAGAGATGCCATGCTCAGAAACACCAGTCCCTGCTGTGTGGACCGCCGCAGGCTGCTCACGGGGTGGGGACATGTCCCTCCAGCGCGGAAGGCTATAATCTGCAGAGTGGAATTTTGGACAGAATTAGTTTTCCAAGTATTTTTCTTCATGGTGGCTTCTTCTATATGTAAAGATAATTAAGTATAATGCTTGGTTGACACATAGGAACCGTCCATTTCTTTAATACAAAATGCCTGCAGAAATCTGGAGTGAGACTTCCGTACACAAAACAGACGCAGCTGAAATGCTGTGCACGACACCAGCCCGGTCACCTGCCGTCCCTCCCTGGGACCTGGCGTGTGTGGGAACGGTCTGGAACGTGCACTCAGACTTCCGCTTCTGCAGAATCTGCCTTCCCTGGCACGGCAGAGGGAGGGCCCGGCTTTCTCTAGACGGGTCTGTTACTCGCGGCCCCTGCGTGCTCCCTGCTGCCAAGGACTTCTCTGCTAACCACCCCCACTCAATTCCTTTCTCTGCGCTCCTTCATTTCTCTACCATCTAACTACTTCTTTCTCAGCTGAGTGGTTTCCTGCCTTATCTGCTCTCTTGTTCATTTCTCTCAAGAAGGCTGTGGAGCTACTGTGTGTCTGTTTCAGACCCTGGACATTCGCCGGTGGCCTACATGACGCTTCCCGCCAGCTTATTACCGATTTCTAATTTCCCTAACCGAGCTCTGACTGCACCCCGAGTTACCCTAGTTAGTCACTGACAGTGACACAATGCATCTTGTAGTTCCCAGGATAATATCCAACAACCTTCAGCGCTTTCTCAAAACAGGCTCTTGGGAAGACCCCAAAAAAGGTTTTCCAGGCAAAAGATCAGCGATCAAAGGAAGATAATAAGCACGACTGAAGAGTAAGAATACAAGAGACTCAGCTTTGAGTGGAACGGGGAGGGTTTCGATTTCCTTTCCTTCTTACTCCAGAGACCTGCTGACAACAGAGCTGGGGACAGCTACAGGGGCAGGACACATGGACTCCAGCAGGGGGTGGTGGAGTCCCCGCCAGAGTAGCACAGTGGGGTCAGCCTCTGGCCTGTCAGGCAGGGAGATCCCACCGCTCACACACCACAGGCAGCCCACGCTCTCCCACCACAGGCAGCCCACGCTCTCCCGCCACAGACAGCCCACACACCACAAGCAGCCCACGCTCCCCCGCCACAGGCAGCCCACACACCACAGGCAGCCCACGCTCCCCCGCCACAGGCAGCCCACACACCACAGGCAGCCCACGCTCTCCCGCCACAGGCAGCCCACGCTCTCCCTGCCACAGGCAGCCCACGCTCCCCCGCCACAGACAGCCCACACACCACAGGCAGCCCACGCTCCCCCTGCCACAGGCAGCCCACACACCACAGGCAGCCCACGCTCCCCCTGCCACAGGCAGCCCACGCTCCCCCTGCCACAGACAGCCCACGCTCCCCCTGCCACAGACAGCCCACACACCACCACAGACAGCCATGCTCTCCCCGCCACAGACAGCCCACGCTTCGCCTCCACAAGCAGCCCACTCCTGGCCCAGACCCATCCTGACCGGAAGGCTTCTCAGGGAGGACAGAAGTCACCAAACCAAACAGAATGCTACAGACAACCCAGCTCACACGCACGGGCGGCGAGGAAACCTGTTCTTGCTGTGCAAACTGCTGCTGTCACAGATAAAGAAAGGATCCCCTTCTGGAGTTTGGCTCAGGACTTTGCTGCCACAGGAGGGGGGGCTCCATCCCGCTTTCCGAGGCTGACTTAAAAGTGGAGGTGGGTAAGACAGGCAGAACCAGGATTATTTCAGTCTGAGTTTTACTAGAAAGTCTGCAACGAGGTGACTGACCATGTATCACAGTCAGAACACAGAACACGGCCACCTCTAACTCAGGACTGAACCACACATGTCCCAAAATAAACTTTAAAAATTTTCATCCTCATCAGTTTTCAGTTCACAGGCTAATCTTCATTTATGATTTAAATGGGGTACAAAGTTAAAGCCGCAATAAAGTTCTAAACCTTTAATTATTATATCCTTACGATGGGTGAGATATGAAGCTTAGTATAGAAGGTTAGTCACAACAGAGAAACGAGATGTGAAAGAGGTAAGAAATTCCTCTCTTTCTCTCTCTCTCTAAGGATGCTGGCACTGCAGGCGGCGGCTTAACCCATTGTGCCACAACAACAGCCTCTCTTCTTCTTCTTTTTCTTCTTCTTCTTCTTTTTTTTTTTTTTTATTTGACAGGTAGAATTACAGACAGTAAGAGAGAGAGAGACAGAGAGAAAGGTCTTCCTTCCGTTGGTTCACTCCCCAAATGGCCGCTATGGCCAGTGCTGTACCAATCTGAAGCCAGGAGCCAGGTGCTTCTTCCTGGTTTCCTATGTGGGTGCAGGGGCCCAAGCACTTGGGCCATCCTCCACTGCCCTCACGGGCCACAGCAGAGAGCTGGACTGGAAGAGGAGCAGCTGGGACTGGAACCCGGTGCCCACATGGGATGCCAGTGCCACAGGCAGAGGATTAACCAAGTGAGCCACGGCACCAACCCCTCTCTTCTTTTTTTTGAGAGGCACACAGACACATTCCACACACATACAGAGATCTCAAACCTACTAGTTCATTTCTCAAATCCCTGCAAAAACCAGGGCTAGACCAGGATGAAGCTGGGAACCAGGACCTCAATCTGGGTCTCCCACATGGGCAGGAACCCAACTACCTGAGCTATCACCTGCTGCCACCCAGGGTGTGTGCTAGCAGGAAGCTGGAATCTAGGCAGAACCTTGAACCAAGGCATCGGATATGGGACGCAGGTGTGCCGAACAGCATTTTAACGGCTCAGTCAATTACCCAGCCCTTTATTATCTCTTCAGAAGATGAGAACACTAGTGTGATCCTTCAGGTGGCTCCTCCGAGCCCAGTGTGAGTGCAGGTACACTGGATCTGCAGGGAGAGTGTCAGGCAGCTGGGGGGCTCTGCTTCCACAGTCAAGCACCACATTTTCCAACACCTTCAGTGATATGTTCCCACCGACCGCGCACAGCCCAGGAGCGGTTCTGCTAAAGCCTCCATGTCTCCACCTGGACAACTTAAAGGAGTGATGCTAGGACGTATGAGTGAGGCTGAACTGGCAAAATGAAGCAGACGTTGGGATGTGCCTATCGTTTGAGAGTACCTACCAGACGGCCAGCTTACGGATTCCTAAGTGAAAAGTAGACGGTGGACTTCTGCTATGTTTTCCTTAAAAATCTAGAAAAGCAGCCCTTACAGATTATGAATTCATTGGAAATAAATCTATATGCACAGCACTAGTGATCCAGCATCATCGAATTTAAAATATTCATTTGTAGAATCCATGGCAAAGTTTTAAAATGTTAAGAAATCCACCCATTCAGTAATAGTCCTTTTACATCAAATGGAGGAAATGTAATATATTAAAAAATGAACACAAAGTCCTTTACTTGTATTTATTATGTCTGATCCAAATATGAGAGTATTTTTAAAAGTCTTTAGCAAATGGGATAGAAACATTGTTTATTGTGGTACAAAGATTTTTTCTGAAATCCATGCATTTTTTTTGGGTAATACATATTTTCCATGAACTTCTGAAGACTACCTGTATTTGCTGCTTCAAGTAACCTGATCCTAGTCTTTCACTCACTGGACTTAAAACTGTCAGCGTATTAGTACAATGCTTCTTGCGGCACAGAACTAGCGTCTAATTCAATAAAATTTTATTTATGTGTAAGAACTTAGAACAATATATTCAAAATAATTACCTTCTTGAAAAAATTTACCAAGGAGGGTAGACTTATCAAACAAGAACTCTGAAAATCACACACTGCTACTTACAATTAGCTGCTTCAGTCCCACAAAAGACTGCTCCACAGAGCTGGCGTTTAGGACTTGTCTCTTTGCGGCAGCTTTTTCACCCAGGAAGCGAAGCATCAAGTCTTTAACTGCATCTCCCTGGAAGGAATATAAAAAACTGTCAAGACAGTAGAATGCTAATTAAACTCAGCTAACTGGAACCCACACTAACCAAAGTGTCTTTCACTCCACTGGCCTGTAGAGGTAAAAGCAGTGGTTGTGTATAGTAAAACTTCAATTAACCAAAAGCTCAATTACCAGCATTTTAGTGACATGAGTATTTTTAGAATTGTTCCTTGTTACGAACAGGAAATGGAAGGTCATTACCATTTATTCTGGGCTTACAACAGGTGGCAAAACCAAGTCAGAAGAGGGTCTGAAGGGATGGGCTTGGGGAGGCCCCAGGAGAGGTGATACCGCTAGGGACCAGGGACTTACGGTCACTGGAGAGCACGCTAGTGGCTGGGCTCCATTTGGGCGGGCAGCCTGACCACATTCCCAAACCGGCCCAGGCCACCAGGAGAGCCCTCTGTGCCTCCTTCTTCCCAGCTAAGCCCCCAGTCACACAAGACTCCTTTGTAGCCTTGTCCAGCCAGGCCCCAGGCTTGCAGGGGTGGGGGGCACCTGATGCTGCAGGCCAGAGGAGGGGTCACATCGGCCCCTGGGCTGCAGCACCTCTTGCCTGACCTGACGCCTCTGATTGCACCCACCTTAGGTGGGACTAAACAACACTAGGGTGGCAGCTGAGGCTTGCTACTGACTTCACAGCCAGGCACAGAAGGGCAGAGGATGAGATGCTTTTGCGTGGCCAGGATAGAAGAGATGGCCTCAAGTGACCTGAGAGACGCCTCTCGGCTGTGAGACACAGGGGAGGCATGCCTTTTTTTTTTTTTGTAATTAATTAATTAATTTGAAAGGCACAGTGACAGAGAGGAGGAGAGATAGAGATTTTCCATCCACTGGTTCACCACCCAAATAACTGCTAGGAGCCACACTGGTCTCCCACATGGGCAGCAGGAGCCCAAGTACCTGGGCCAACATTCACTGCTTCCCAGGCACCTAGGCAGGAAGATGGATCAGAAGCGGAGCAGCCAGGACTTGAACTGGCACTCTGATGTGGGATGTTGGCACTGCAAGGAGCAGCTTAACCCGCTGCCAGCGCCAGCCCCCAGGAAAGCACTTCTGAGCTGGACATTCTCGAGTCAACGACACACGGAGACATGTGAAGGCTGCCTTGGTGACTATCCGACGGACAAGGGGGAGCCCAGGGTTGGGGCCTGCTGGCTGAAAACAGTGGCTACGAGAGGTCAGCGTGAAGGGCACGCACTGGGCTCTGAGCTGCTGCTGCAGCTGGCCCAGAGAGCAGCTGTGGCAAGGACGCTGCTCTGGACTGCTCTCCTCGCAGAGCGGAGGTGCTGCCACCTTGGGGAGCGCTGCGGGCAGAGGCAGCAGCTCAGATCCCAGCAATGCCTGAGACGGGTGAGCCCAGAGTGGCCCAACCTCCCCTGACCCAGCGCATCCTCAGCACTGCTGACAGGGACGCAGCAGAGTCCAGAGGTCTCCCAAGCGAGCTGAAGAGAGAAACCAGAAGTAGGTCACCTCAGCAGGGGCAGGGAAAGCCACGTCCTCAGCATCTCGCAGGCAGCCTGCCCTGCAGTCACAGGGGACTGCAGAGGGGCAGGAGAGAACTGCAAATGCTCCTGCACAACCTCAGACCTGGAGGCTCCCTTCCCACTGCCCGCCCACTTGCTGGGAAACAAAGGGCACCGAGCAGTTCTGCTCAGCATTTGAATTTTCTGCTGTCTTTCAAATGGTGACACTTAAAACAAAGCTGCCCCCAGACCATGTGAGCAAGAGACATGGAGAGGCTGCCGAAGTGTCTGCTTCTTCCGCTCCGCCGCCTTCTACTGAGAGGCCTGCCAGCCCGCAGCGGGAGGGAGGCTGTGGCTGGGATCAGTGTGTTTCTGCCCCTGGCTGCTAAGCCTGGTGCTCACAGAGGCCAAGCCACACATCTCCCTCTACTGCAGCAAAGATCTAGAAGCAGCAATTTTATAATTTCTGCTTTCCGAGAGAGGGTGTAATACTTCAAATACCAGAGTCACAAAGCAGCTAAAACTGATCTAGCAGTGATAATTAAAGAGCAAATAAAAACAGTTCTGACATATGGCTCCTTAAAGCTTTGCAAAAACGCAACTCCTATTAGACAAAGCATATTATCTGAGCCAGAGGAGCAGCAAGCCAGGCAAGGCGCAAAAATCCAATCTTAATGCTGGGGAGGGAGGACCAGTGCAACTCCTCCAACCTTGCAACATTCCCAATTAATCACACCGCATTGCAAAAATGTCTTTTGTTCTTAAAATTCTCCGAGTTAACAACTTAGTTACTACAGGAGGCTCCTGAGATATAAGTTTATGCACGACTAACAAATATCTCACCTAGGAAAGTCCAATGATGGGACCAAGTTTCTTAAGACAAACCCAGGGGCCGGCACTGTGGCACAGTGGGCTAAGCCTCCACCTGCAGTACTGGCATCCCATACGGCACCCGTTCTAGTCCAGGTTGCTCCTTTTTTGATCCAGCTCTCTGCTATGGCATGGAAAAGCAGCAGAAGATGGCCCAAGTGCTTGGGCCTATGTACCGCGTGGGAGACTGGGAAGAAGCTCTAGGCTCCTGGCTTCCAATGGGCTGCCATCGCAGCCATTTGGGGGGTTAACCAGCAGATGGAAGACCTTTGTCTCTGTCTCTCCCTCTCTCTGTAACTCTACCTCTCAAATAAATATAATCTTACTTTTTTTTTTTTTTAAGACAAACCCAACTAGTTGTGCCGTGAAACTGCAGGAAGTTATACACAGTGAGTTGAAGGGATTGTGTACTGCATGCACCCCTGGGTTACTGGAGTGAGGGAGAGCTACAGCTCCACCTGGGATGGCATCCCATGAGAGCCCAATGGACACCTTACTGTCAACAAAACATGGCACGAGGGCCCACTGTAGCCATGACATGGGTAAGGGACATGGAGGAGACACTATGTGGAGCCAGGGACTCACTTCCCACCTGGCAGTGGCAACATCAGCCGTCCTGCTGGTCAGCATGCTTACAGAAAAGCAGGTGGCCAATTCTCACAGCTCGCAGGTGACCATAGGCCTGCTACCCCAGGGAGAAGTCTTAGAACTCTCTTCTGGATTTCAATGGCCAAAGACAAAACAGAACCAGAGCAGGTGACTCACAGGATCACATGGTCACAGGGCAGTGTCACAGAGCCGTCTGCCAGGCTCCAATGGAGTCACACGGCTGTTCATTCTGGGAATGTCCTAGTCTCTGGCTCTTGTGTTTGCTTTCTCCCTAGTGATGTGACACCACCTTAACAAAGAGCAAAAAGCCAAACTCGAGGATTTGAAGAAACTGAGACCATTATGCACCACAGATAGGCATGTGAAATGTAACAGTCACTTTGGAAAACTATCTGGCGATTCCTGGAAATGTTAAACGCCAGCCATTCCACACCTAGCTACACATCCAAGAGAACTGAAAACATTTGTCCATGCAAAAACGTGTACGTGAGTGTTTACAGTAGCACTGCTCATAATAATCAAAAGGTATAAACAACCTAATGTTCATCAACTGAGGAATGGACAGAATGTGGACCACCCATGCAATGGAATGTTATTTGGCCATAAAAAGCAATGAATACTGGCAGACGCTACAACACTGATGTTTTCCTGAAAATGTAAGGCTAACTGCAAAGCAGCCAGCCATGAAACAACATGGCCTGCATGACAGGAAGTAGATTAGTGGCTGTCTGGGGCTGGGGTACAGGTGTGGAGTGACTGCTTATGAGTTGAGGACTTCTTTTTGGGGTGAAGAAATGTTCTAGAAATTGATTGTGCTAATAGCTGCATAACCGTCTAATAAAAAATTACCAAATTATACGCTTTAAATGTGTGAACTGTAATGCATATAAATTATATCTCAATAAAACTGAAAAAGCAGAACCTAAATCCCTTCTCTTTGAGGCCCAAAACAAATTTCAATTTAATGGAATGGTTCACAGGTAAGTCAGCTTGAGGACTGTTACAATGCAACTTAAGCTAAGTCTTCAGATCCCTCATTCACCTGCATGCTTCAGATGAACCAAGTGCTCTTTATGTGGGGCGTTTGGGGAGAAAGTGAGGTCCTTCCTTGAGAGAGGTGAACAAAGGCAGCAGCATTAACTTTTGCTGTCGCCCTCTGCAAGGGAGCTGGGAGTGGATTTACTGTCCTAATGTGAACAACTGGAACAACAGGCAAAATAAGTCAACTGTGATCTGAGAGAAGGGAAAAACAAGTGGAGATTTGGAAGCCAATTGTACAGCGAGAATTCCAGGCACAGGGAAATGAACTTGGTGAGGGAAGGAGAGGAAGCAGGATTTTGAAAAGGTTGAGCCGGCTGGAATTTTCAGGCCACAGAACCAGAAAGAAGGGAGCTACACAGAGAAAGGGCCCCCTACGTCTGCGTGAGAGCCCCTTGATCCCACTGCTGAGCACAGCCACACACGTACAGGACAGAGCTGTGGAGGACGGTACGTGACTAACAGCTCACACAGGGCTGAAGGACATCAGGTTTGGGCCAGCTTTGGGGAGGGCTCTTACTGAATACCTGGGGCATTTGTACAGACCTCACAAAGATCACCCCAAGAATAAAAGCTACTCTGACTTCACTCTAAAAAGCTTTAAAACAATCTAAAAAAATCAAGTAGAATCTGCAAACAACATACCTGCCAGCCAGAAGAAAGTAGAAGTCTTTTTTAAGAAAGAAGACAGGATCCAGACACTCAACAACATGAAATCCACAATGTGTACCATCTAGTAGAAATTTACTAGACATGTGAAAAACAAAGCCCATGTGACCCACAGCTAAGAGAAAAATTAGACATTCTGAAGATGATGGAATTTCAGAGAACTTTAAGACAGTTCTTACAGATATTCCCAAAAATCTAAAGTCACACTAGAACTTGAGGGACTGGCACTGTGGTGGGTTACACTGCTATCTGAGACACCGGCATCCCACAGGAGCATCAGTTCAAGTCCTGGCTGCTCCACTTCCGATCCAGCTCCCTGCT